TCTCCCAATTTAAACTGATTCCAATCAATATATTTCAACAAGCACGCATTTGGGGAATTGAAAACTCATACCTCTGTACAGTACATATAAATGTTGGTATTCTCTGTAAAAATAATGTTCAAGTGAAAAAAGAGAAGGAAGTTCCTCTTTGCTGGAGCTAATTTCTTTTAATTAGGTAGATGGATGGTAAATTGGTGAGACAATTTTTATTTTCATGGAATTATGGTGAGTATTTTGTACATAGAACACCAATTAAACATTATATAATGTAAGTACAATATAAGGGAAACTGAGACTCAACTTGGGAACATTTCGACTTAGGGACACTCTTGATGCACCAATTACGTCCGCATCACGGGGTCTCACTGTATAATGCATGGAATAACTCGCCACAACTAACTTCAAGAAGAGATAAGCAATTGTTAACGAAGCATAACTCGTATAAGTCAATGGTCCCTTGCTGCACCAGGGCAGTGGGGCAACTACTGACCCATCAACTCGTTCCCTCATCCCAACTTGAAGAAGAAGTGAAGAATCTCAGGCTTGAGAATCGTCTGCAGGGAAATTCTTCTTTTTTTTAATGTGAAAAGGAGCACAATATTTTATTTATTTATTTGAACTCTACCAAGATTCAAATTTTTTCGACGTCACGCCGTGATTATATTACACTACAGTATATGCGTGAGGATTTTATGGGGATTCCGATCTGAAAATTCCGTTGACTAAAAAATGCGGTGAATGTACAGTATAGTATTTTATACGGGGCGAAGGAATTTTGTTCACGTGGAGTTGAGACTTTAAGATGAAACGCTGCTTTACATCAGCAAAGCTTCATTTAGGAAGTATCATACACAATAAAGTAATCTTCAGCTGGTACCATATGTACTTGAGTACCAGCAGGTGCCTTTAGTTCTTTTTGCGTGCTATAATTTTTAGAAAGAAATCTCATTCCTGCGTAATTAAGACGTCCCCCTTGTAGTTTCCACTCTTATTGCTTAAAAAACCACATTATTGCTGGGTTGAAATATAATTACAAGCTAGCTCACTTGAAAATTTAATTGAACTGAACTCCTCTACTTTTATATGCGTATAAATCATGGGCTCGTTAAAAAAAATAACTCACAACTTTTTTGAAAGCAGGGATATTTTTTCAAATAATAAACCCAACCTGTGTACCAAACATGACACCAAAAAGGTTTGCAAATTTTCCTCAAAATGTTGTAGGAACTTGCATGCAATATTATCCAAAATAATCAGCAATCATGTGGTTTTTCAAAGTTCCGCGTGTTTCCATATAAATCAAGGTAAGACTTTGTAATGTTTTGTTGCATTGGAATTGAAAATTTTTCAATCGGAAACATCCACAATTTACTCCACCCTCTAATAGTCTAATCAAACTGAAATTAAATTTTTTCGGTCGACTCGATTGCAATCGTTGCAAAGGAGCCCTTTCATTCATGCCTTTTAATGATCCATTATCTGTGTCAGTTCATATCAAGTTTCGATCGGGGTTCGAAGAAAATCCTGAAGTTGCATAAAATACCCGAGCTGAGATAAATTAAAAAAGTATCATCTTTATATTGACTTCAACGGATTTTCGAATGAAAAGCAACAAAAACTCGAATTTTAAAACACTTTGATCCAATACTGAATGTTTAACAAAATTTAGGAAATTTATGAAGATGTAATCCCATTAATTATATAATCTACATGGTAAGGAAGAGGTCCTCGCCTCACAATGGACTTGCACTTCATCAATTTTGACAACAGCATTTTATTATTTTACAATAATGAAAAAAATCTTCCATCATTCCCTCACTTGTCTATTCATAGCGCTATTTTAATTTGCTGGTTGAAAAATACGCTTGGATTGGACCAAATTTCGAGAAATTCAAGTGGAAATTTGACCACCCCGTCAAAAAAATTTTAAAAGCTACAGATGAACCCTGGAATCTACAAAAAATAATCAGGGGACAGGCAAAATTTATTGTAGAGAGGATTTAGTTGCAGAGAACCTCTATTCATTGTATGGGTACTGTGGCGTACCAGCCACAAAGAATAAACAAATCGAGGCTGAAAATCAAAAGTTAATTGAAGGATTCACACAATCCGCCGGGAACACCGCAGGGGCCTTTTTGGTAAAAGCCTCAAATTAAAGCAAGTTAAATATATTTCAAGCAATGTGAAGCGAATCAAATTAGGAACTTCAAAACTTCAAAAGAATCTTAAATTTGAACAAGGACAAAATGTGCGATATTTCACAAACAAGAGTAGCAACCGAACGCGGCAAATCGCAATCGAAGACTGTGTTGACAAATATGCGGAGTTCGATTACGGTGAGGGAGAAAAGCATTGCGCAATGGGAAATTCCGCGGAATTTCCCATCAGCGTGTTTTTAAGTTATATTTAATTTAATTAGTGAAACTAGTTGTCGTTATGCGACATTTGCGTGCCTTACAGGTACTATACAGTACTGTAATACTGTATATACATATATATATATATATATGTGTGTGTGTGTGTGTGTGACCCTTCCTGAACACAAAAAAAAATCATTCTACAGATAAATTCGTTGCAGGCAAGAATTTTGCAGTCTTCCAGGGAAATTTTAAGCAGGGAAGAAAGTATCAGAAGAATTCCAGAAATTCTTCAGATTCTAAAAATCAGTAGAATCCTCCCTAAAAAAAACAAAGCAGAACGATTAAAATTAAAATTCAAAAATACGTTTCGTATGAACCGATGTTTATTTTATATTTCTGAGCTGCAGAAAATAAGCCGAGAAAAAAGAACACCCGCGTGATACGCTTCATTCAACACACCTTCATCTTTCAATTTTCAAACAAACTAACTGCTCAAATCGATTCATTTCATGACTTCCGCAAAAAAAAAAAAATCTGAACACCCCTTCGAAAGATTGAAAGAGAACATGAATTTCATATCGAAAATTGCGAGATTCACATATTGTACTTTTTTTTGTCACTTTCGAAAGCAGAACCATCACGATGCAACCCGCGAAGCCCTTTCCTTCCTGGAACCGTATTCACAGTTAATTGCACTTAATTAATAGATAATTGCACAATCCCCTCCCGAAACTTCACACTTTTCTCCCATTTGTGCCTCCGGCAGCACTGGCCTCGTTCTGACAATGTCATGTCCCTCGCCTTCCGTTCAAAAATCACGAGATTTCTTCAACCAAAAAAATAAATATATTCACGCACAAAAAAAAAACAACCGAAAACGTTGTCGTCAGAGAAGGTTTTTGTTGAAGGAAATCAAGTAATTCAGAGGAGGAAACATCTGGACATTTAATCGAAGTCTTCTCTGGGAACTGGATCTGGGTTCAGGGTAAGGTACTCCTCGGTCGTGGAATCCTCAAGCATCTTGTCCAAACTGACCTTGAGGTCAGTGAAAAAGGGTCTTTCGGCAGACGGGAGTTTCCAAAGTCTTCTCTGGGAACTGGATCTGGGTTCAGGGTAAGGTACTCCTCGGTCGTGGAATCCTCAAGCATCTTGTCCAAACTGACCTTGAGGTCAGTGAAAAAGGGTCTTTCGGCAGACGGGAGTTTCCAGCACTCAACCATCAACGAATAACTGAAACACATTTTTGATCAATACTTCAAGATTAAAAAATTCAACTCGTTTTGAAAGTCTTTCGAAAATGGAACGACAAAAAATAATGCAGTTGAAAAAAAAAATCTCGTCGTGACTCGTGCAAAAGGATTTTTTGTGGGATCAAGTTAGTGTCGTTATTTATAATTTATTTTTCAGGGTCAAAGCGTTTTCAAATCTTCCAATTTGATGAGATTTTCAAGAACCTGTTCAATATACTTCACACAGAGTATCATAATGGATACATTTTCGACATTTGAGTTTTCCAATGCTAAAATTTTGAGAAGTGCCTATATAATAGCTCAACGAGCCAACTTAGAGATTTTGCAGACAGGAGTTTCCTTCACACAACGACGAATGAAAAAGTTAATCGAATTTTTTTTTAAATCGAGTTTAAAATTTCAAAATATTGAACTCGGTATTATTTGGAAAGTCTTCGGAAAAGAGGAAATAAAATAATGCAGAGTTTGAACACTTTTTGAAGATACACAGAAACTTTTGGGAGAAAAAGACTCTCTTCGTGACTTGCAAAAACATTTTTGGAACGAGTTTGTGTTGTCTTTTAAAATTTATACTACAAGTTTAACGCTTTTAAAAATGGTCAACTTTGATAAGACTTTCCGAATCTGTTCAATACTTCGCACGAAGTATGATCAGGAATGCATTTTACCTCCTTCCAGTTTTCCAATGCTAAAATTTTGAAAATTCCCTCCGGATATGTAATAGCTCAACGAGCCGATTTAGAAATTTCGGTGTTCTGAGCTTGACAATTATTGCTCCGTCAAGCTCGAAGTAATTTTCCCTCCTTCGAAGATTTCGAGTTAGATACGAGTCTCCTGATGACTTTTTCGTAACAAATAATCGCAGGAAAAGTATCACTCACAAATCCGAAGAACAGTTGGTAGGCTTTGGCATTTTGTATCCACTTTGCAGCATGGAATGAAGATCCGAAACCGAAACACCAGGGTATGGAACCCCACCCAAAGTCGCGATTTCCCACAGAAGAATACCGAATGACCACCTGTGGGAATGAAAAAGCTCATCATCCTTTCATCACACACACAGAAAAAAAAAGGAAAATTTGACCACGGAAATTTCGAGAATGTCTTGAAGCTAGCCCAACGGAATGCTTTCCATGGTAGGCATGTCTCACAAGATCAAACAGCAGTACACTACAGCACTGTATGAACTGTGTAATCATATAAAAAAAACCACAGCAATATACTGTTCTATATATTGTTGAGATATATATTCTATATATTGTACATCCCCTTGATACATGACACAGAAGCTCTTTTGAAAAATTCATGGCACTTTTGTAAAAAATTCATCCAATTTTCGAAGGTGTCTTAAATGTTGTAATTCCTGCAGCATAAATACATTGGTTGGTGCATTGCCAGAGCACCTTCTCTTCTTATGCCCAGCATTCCATACTGATAGAAATGAGCTTAAGAAAGATTTGAAAGTATTGGAATTCAATGAAGAGACCCTTTCTGAAATCATAGAGGATCAAGATAAACTGTTGGCCTCATATAAATTCTCAAAGATTCTCTCTAAACGTTTCATTCAACTAAACCTTACCTATGGGAACAGGCTGAAGACCTTGAGCTTTAAAATGGGTTCAGTAACTGCTGCAATTGCTATAATTCTGGCTTATGCTGCAATTCTTGTTACTGATATTTTTTAAATGTGAGGTAAAGAAGGGGATGTATGCATATACATCAGTTGTGCAGTTGTACATTGTGGAATGTATTTTATTTTTATTTTGGTACCCATATATACAGCTTATTTCTCTGTTTCCCATTCTGGGGGATTGAATGCCTTTGAATGGATTTGGGTTGGGTGGGGATGAGGGAGTTTGGATGTGGGAATGTTGATTGAACCTTGTGAATGCTGAAAAGTGGAAAATAAATCTTTCTGTTCATTCATTCATACTGTTCTATACCGTGAGTGGACTTCTTGCCGGAGCTCACATATGAGCTGCCAAATTTACGCTGACCCCCTTCCCCCTGCCTCACTCCCCATGCAGCTTCAGTCCCTCTCTTGTGCATATGCTTCAGCAACTTCAGAAAGTGGAGCCTGGCTGTTTTGGGATGAAACGGTGTAGGACTCACACTGCACTCAATGCTCCATTAAAATGCAGAAATTTGTATACTTGAAAAAACAGGAAGAAATTTCCACAGTTCATGCCTGAACCCAAATAAATACAATATAAGAACCCTTTAATAGCAAATTTAATTCAGACAATTTCTCATTGCATGTACTCAGCAGAAATTTGTATACTTAAAAAAACAGGAAGAAATTTCCACAGTTCATGCCTGAACCCAAATAAATACAATATAAGAACCCTTTAATAGCAAATTTAATTCAGACAATTTCTCATTGCATGTACTCAACTTTTATAATCAGAGTAATGAAAAGAGAACCTTCAGTAAAGCCATAAGGTTTAGTAAAATGAATATTAATTATAGTTGTAGATAGTACTTCTCCCACTACACTGTTTATACCTATTCAAACAGGCCTTCTGAAGTCTCACATGATTTTTCTTTAAGGAGAGAGTGATGGGTTCAGGGAGTGAGGCAGGGGGAAGGGGGAGCAGGGTAAATTCGGCAGCTCACATCTGAGCTCCGGCGAGAAGTCCGTCCACCGTTCTATACAACAATCTTGTCTAGAACAATTTTATCTGCATAAGAAATTTGTATTTGACCCCATAGCGTTCTCTCTTTCCCGGGGTTACAGGGGGTTTCCTGCAACAAAATTCAAGGGACCAAAAAAATTAAAATAAAATCCCCAGTGGAGAGAATTTTGTTGCAGAGAGGGTCCACCTGTATATATATACCTTATGCAAGTATCAAGACTAGGCATCTCAGAGCACTTACACGTCACTTTTCGTGGTATACAATTGATGCATGATGCTTTCGGGGGCCATCCACCGAATGGGAACCTTCCCGTTGGAAGTCCTCTCGTACAAATTCCTGGCATACACGTCGCGACTCAGGCCAAAGTCCGAAATCTTGACGTGCTTCGGCCGGAAGAGCAAAATATTCCTCGCCGCCAAATCACGATGGACAACCTTATTCTTCGACAGGTACTCCTATAAAAAAACGCAATTTCAAATCACACAACAAGTCAAGATTTTCAAATTATGAAAGACAAAAAAATAATAAAGAATTCACTCACCATTCCAGCAGCGATTTGCCTGGCAATGGACAATAAATCGGAAGGAGTTCGCATCTCGTCCACTGCATTCTGCGGTGCATTATCGATCGCCACTTCGTAGTTTTCGCAGACTATGTTTTCACCTGATATCAAAAAGCACGTTTCTTCAGAATGCGAGGAAAAACAAGTAGCCAGCACTCCAGACATGCACAGTATACAGTACAGTGATTGCACAGCAGCACGGATTTGGAAATTAATTATGGGACTTCATCCCAGGAAAGTTGGATTTCTCACCACCACTGTTGATGACGAGTTGGGGATTATCCAGACTGCCTTCGTACAGTTCATTATGCACCATGGCAGAGCCAGCAGGAATATTTAGTGGAGGCGTAGACGGTGGAGATGAAGTCTCACTCTCACATCCTTCATAGCCTGAATATGGCAGAATGTGTGAAGAGAATAATTAATCTGTCAAGCCATAAACCTTCTACTTCTATACAGTAAATCTAATTACAACAAATTTTTGGGGACTTCAGAAAATGTTAGTTTGACTGGATAATTTGTTATAACAAGATTTTCAAAATTGATGACCTGAAAATGTTTCAACATCAGATACCTGCCTTCAATTGATTAGATCTTGTAGCACATTCTCAGATTCTTCATTATTGTTTAGAAAACTGAGTGAAACATTCTTTATAAAAGTTTGTTGTCCGGGAATTGGGAAGTTTGTAATAATGAGATTGTTTTAACATGTACCTTAAGGGCTTTCTGTCTGGACTTGAGAAAAGTGTGTTACAGTTGAACCTGGATAACTCAAACCTCCCAAAGTTAAATACCTCCATAATTCAATTTTTTTCAGGTACCTGCCTGAATCCCTCAGAAACAATGCATTAAAAACTTCCCTAAGTCAACAGTTTTTCCCTTCACACCTCCATGAGTCAAATTTTATGCGGCATGTTGGCTATTATTTTCTTGACACAAAAACAAAAAAGCAATAAAAACAGAAATTGATGTGCTAAAGAAAGTGGATTACATAATTGGGCGAATGAGCCCCTGCCTCCAAGTTCAGCATCCTTTTAACTCATTCAAGAAGCAATTTAATCCCCAGAATATCATTTAAAATTTTTGGCAATTTTTCCAAGTTTCCCAGAAAAAATGGCTTGTATTGTAGCTCAAACCTGAAAACCTCCCTAAGTAAAGACCTCCCCAAGTTGAATTGTTTGCTGGTCCACTTTAAATTTGACTCAAGAGAGGTTCAACTGCATAATGAAATCTTTGTTGAAATCGCATTTGCTGTAAAAAATATTTCACTATAAGAATGTTAAGATCTNTAATATATTTTACATGCCCACAGACAGGCTTTTTAATTGACCATCATTTGCAAAAGCTTTGCCAATTTTATAATTCAACCCCGCGATACTCGCGAGAACGTCTCGGCCAAAATACCCCGGAATTCTCCCAATTATGCGCTACGGCCCGAATTCAACATCATTACCGTCTGTGCTAATTTTACCCATATCCAGTTAATTATCGCATTTGCTTCAGAAGTACAGAAAATTCCGAGAATTGCGTAATAACCGTCATTAATATCGAGTTTTACAGACATTTATTTGCGAGGACAACAAAAATAACAAGCCTTTTCTTCTCACCCGAGCTGTCGGAAGCGTTGCAGCGGAACTCGGTGTACACGATGCCCTTGCGTTCCGTCGCTTCAGCAATTTTCCTGGCCTTCTCAAGCTCCATTTTCTGGCATGAACATAAATCCAGTGGAAAAGCATCATTTCAGCCACTTTCCCCCAGCAGAGGATGGATTTCTCAAAAGTACTGGAAGTCAAGGGGAATTTTTTGCTGGTAAGAGTGGGATGTTTTACGCGTTTTGTTCATTATGGAAAAAAAATTCTTCTGCTATTACAACCAGATGGCATAAGATACATTAAATTGCTGAAAGGTTCCAGGAAATTCTATAATGTTGAAAAATGGAGGAAAATTGGCAGAGAAAATAATCCCTCTTCGCGTGGACATCCAAGTCATAGTAAAAAAGTTTATTTCTCTCTCTCTCTCTGCAATGATTATGAATTTCAATAATACATAGGGACTCAGAAAATGAATTTGTCGCGATTAGTGTTTTTTCTTTACCAAGTTACTCTCACTCCACAACAATTTTTTCATCGCTTTTTGAATTTCGGTGTAGAGAGAGTCCACTTCATGACAAATTATCACTCACAAAAATTCCATTTTTCATTTCCTGCTCAATAACCAATTTATCATGCCTTTTTTGCCACAAAACCTCCTGAAATACTCTGTAATTTTGAATTACACTTTCTGAAATACTCTGTAATTTCTCCCGAAAATTTTTTAAAATTAAACTTACTACAGCAGAGTTTCCGGTAAAAAAAAAAAATAAGCACACGAAAACTTTTCTAAAATTTCTTTCCTATGCTCATGCCAATGAGATTATCAGAGCTTCAACATTGAAAAGGATTCAAAGGTAAATTGATTTATTTTCTCAAGTTACATATTTCTTTGTGATGTAGATGGATTTCCCCAACCACAAAATCCAAGTTAAAACAAAAGCATTTGTAATTGAATTTATCCCAAACAAAATTTTGCTTTAAAAAAAAGTGTTCTTGGCCCAAATTGTTTTTTTTTTTTTACTGAGACAAGATTCTTTACTATATACGTAATCTAATTCCAGCATTTCTCATGCAGCTTTATAATTTCTTGCCACATACAGCGTTTTGAAATACTGTATACAACATTTCTGGTGGGGATATTACCAAGACTTTTGAGAAGCCCCCCCTTTCGAGTATTAACCCTTAAAAGCAACGAGTGGAGGCGAAAAAGAGGCTTTAGAATGAAAGCGCATTTACTTCAGCCATGCGTCGCAGCTGGGTGTGCAAGTCGCCAAAAGGGCAATGTTCCACTATCAAAGCCATCGGCCGGGTCTGCGTGACGGCACCCAGGATTCCAACCACGTTCGGGTGATGGTTGATCATCTTGAGGACCTCCATTTCGTTCTTGAGCTGCTGGTACTCCTCCAAACCGGCTCCATCTTCATTTTTTGTTGTTGTTGTTTTGTTGTTGTTGTTGTCATGCATGCACCAAGAAACATGTGAGAGGAGAGAAGCGATGGGGGTAATAGAGCATTCATGCATGAAGCTTTTGTTGTTGTTGTTGTTGTTTGGGGTCAGTATATATGGGAGGAAGGACGAGAAAATGTAAACTGATGGGGCCAAAGTATTTCACTTGAATAGGCCCATGCATGCAGAAACAAGAGCAGGAAAGGAATGCAGTACTGTGTATGTATAAGGATCCTACTGTGGTTGAGCTAGAGCAGTGTTCCCCAACCTTTTTGGGCCTGGCAGACTGGCAAATTTCCCTAGAAATTTTTTGTGGACCAGCAAAGTTTCATACACATTTTTCAGATTCATAAGGGTTTGGCTTGAAAGACTTTTTGGCAGGCATTTGAAAAGTTTCTACTTTTTCGCAAAAATTAAGAACCAATGAAGCAGCTGAGCAGTGTGTCTTGCAAAAAGGGGAGACTTGAAAAAGTTTTCGCCGATAAAAAAATAATAATAATTGAATTCAGGAGGTGGAAATTTGTGCTGTGTTATTATAAGAAAGCCAATTTCTATTATTCATCAGATAATTTCAACTGCCACTGTCTTTCCAAAATTTCAGATAAAGATGAGAGATTTCATTGCTACTTTTGATAAATTTATAGCGTTGAAGAAAATTTCCTGCAGACCATGGACTGAGAAACACTGAGCTAGACAATGGCTTTTTCCAATGACATCAGTATTTTTTAAAGGCTTGCCTTTCATTAGTTGATCCCCCAGAAAAATATGGAAAATAAATTGAGGGCTGAAAATATTTGCAAAGGAAAAATTTCAAAGTTTTAGTTTTTCAGCTTTCATATTTATATCCTTTGTTTGGTCAGAAAATTTCCGGCGGAACAGTTTTTCATAGTTAGTCAGCAATTTTCCCTGATATTAAAAAATTATATTTTCATGCAAAAGTTTTTGGTACAGTACTGCTCTCCTGTTATGGACTCACTCTGTACTGCATTAAATTATCCTTTCTGAATTAACCCATCAAAGCAGTAACTAAATTATAGAGTATACTGTAATCCCATTAAAACAGATCTTGTTATGACACATTTTTTTTGTCATGGCGCATTTTTTCTTGGTCCCAGCAGTTTTACAGTGGGGGCAATGCTATAAAAATTTTGCTATAACAGACTAATTTTCCTGTAACATCTCAGTATGACAAATGTTTGCCTCTATTATGCGTGCAGGGGTCATAGGAAATTTGGAATAATTGACAAAATATAGGAAAATCCAACTTGTGCATTAATTAAAAACCTTCAAAAATATAAATCCTAATTTTATTTTTGTACAGAAATGTTTGCATTGACCAATGAAACTTCAAAATGTGTTTAATGTATCTTGAAGGAAATTGAAGATGATGAAGGTCTAAAATACAATAATTGTACTCAACAATTTAGTTTTTTTTTCATTACTTCATCCAAAGAATTGGTAAATTATGATAAATTTTTACCTATCTCCGTTGTTGAAGTACAGTACTGCATAGCATTTTAAAAACCTATTTCCCATACAATTAAAGTCCCATACATGCTCAAAGAACCAAGATTCTCTTCATAACGAATTTATTCTCAGGTCCCTGCTGGGAGTTTGTTGTAACAAGATTTTACTGTATATTAACACTCTACTCCTATGAAGCAGATGCCCACATCATAAAGCAAAGCAGCATATTTGCTCAATACAGACATGGTTTTTTCAGGCAATTTAGGAAGAAAAAAAATTGCACAAAAATGCGATTACAGGTGGAATCTCTCAACAATATCTCAAGTACAACGAATTTTTTTTTTTTATCCCAACAAATTTTTTTCTTCCCATTTTCTATAAGGGATTCTCCACAACAAAATCCTCTCTACAGCGATTATTTGTTCCTGGTCCCTTCAATTTCGTTGTAGAGAGAGTCCACCTGTATTATCATTATTTATCATTTGACAAAACAAGAGGATTAAAAAAAACCAAAGACAAAAAAATCACTCACCCTTGAGCATCTTGACAGCAACAACTTCAATACCAGCTTTCGACCGGTGCGGCAGATGATGATGCCTAGTCCTGCTCTCGGGAAATGCAGCCTGTTCCACCAACTGGGCTCGATTCTTCTTGTTCAACTTCAAGTGGGCCTTGCGAACAACACCAAAAGCTCCTTCCCCGAGAACCTCTTGCAAGATTAATTGGTCCCACGAGACCTCGTAGTCGTCCGGAGGACTCAGCGAAAGCAGCGAAGAGAGGATCATTCTTTCGCCGAAAAACCGAAGGTTCTGAAGACGCTGTGTGAAGAAAGAAAAAAGAAAAAGAAAATGAATAATAATGGAGCGGATATAGCGAGAAATGGATGACCATCAGATGAAAAGCGGGGNCGGCCGGGTCTGCGTGACGGCACCCAGGATTCCAACCACGTTCGGGTGATGGTTGATCATCTTGAGGACCTCCATTTCGTTCTTGAGCTGCTGGTACTCCTCCAAACCGGCTCCATCTTCATTTTTTTTTTTTGTTGTTGTTGTTGTCATGCATGCACCAAGAAACATGTGAGAGGAGAGAAGCGATGGGGGTAATAGAGCATTCATGCATGAAGCTTTTGTTGTTGTTGTTTGGGGTCAGTATATATGGGAGGAAAGACGAGAAAATGTAAACTGATGGGGCCAAAGTATTTCACTTGAATAGGCCCATGCATGCAGAAACAAGAGCAGGAAAGGAATGCAGTACTGTGTATGTATAAGGATCCTACTGTGGTTCAGCTAGAGCAGTGTTCCCCAACCTTTTTGGGATGGCAGACTGGCAAATTTCCCTAGAAATTTTCTGTGGACTTGCAAAGTTTCATACACATTTTCCAGATTCAAAAGGGTTTGGCTTGAAAGACTTTTTGGCAGGCATTTGAAAAGTTTCTACTTTTTTTAAAATTAAGAACAATTAAAGCAGCTGAGCAGAATATCTTGAAAAAAGGGGAGACTTGAAAAAGTTTTCTCAGATGAAAAAAAAAATAATAATAATTGAATTCAGCATGTGTAAATTTGTGCTGTGTTATTATGAGAAAAGCCAATTTTCATAATTCATCAGATAATTTCAACTGCCACTGTCTTTCCAAAATTTCAGATAAAGATGAGAGATTTCATTGCTACTGTACTTTTGATAAAATTTATTGCGTTGAAGAAAATTTCCTGCAGACCATGGACTGAGAAACACTGAGCTAGACAATGGCTTTTTCCAATGACATCAGTATTTTTTAAAGGCTTGACTTTCATTAGTTGATCCCCCAGAAAAATATGGAAAATAAATTGAGGGCTGAAAATATTTGCAAAGGAAAAATTTCAAAGTTTTAGTTTTTCAGCTTTCATAATTATATCCTTTGTTTGGTCAGAAAATTTCCGGTGGAACAGTTTTTCAGTTAGTCAGCAATTTTCCCTCATATTAAAAAATTATATTATCATGCAAAAGTTTTTGGTACAGTACTGCTCTCTTGTTATGGACTCACTCTGTACTGGATTAAATTATCCTTTCTGAATTAACCCATCAAAGCAGTAACTAAATTATAGAGTATACTGTAATCCCATTAAAACAGATCTTGTTATGACACATTTTTTTTGTCATGGCGCATTTTTTCTTGGTCCCAGCAGTTTTACCGTGGGGGCAATGCTATAAAAATTTTGCTATAACAGACTAATTTTCCTGTAACATCTCAGTATGACAAATGTTTGCCTCTATTATGCGTGCAGGGGTCATAGGAAATTTTGAATAATTGAAAAACTATGGGAAAATCCAACTTGTGCCTTAATGAAAAACCTTCAAAAATATAAATCCTACTTTTATTTTTGTACAGAAGTGTTTGCATTGACCTATGAAACTGCAAAATGTGTTTAATGTTTTTCAAAGGAAATTGAAGATGATGAAGGTCTGAAATACGATAATTGTACTTAGCAATTTTAGTTCTTTTTCAGTACTTCATCCAAAGAATTGGTAAATTATGATAAATTTTTACCTATCTCCGTTGTTGAAGTTCAGTACTTCATGGCATTTTAAAATCCTATTTCTCATACAATTAAAGTCCCATACATGCTCAAAGAACCAAGATTCTCTTCATAACGAATTTATTCTCAGGTCCCTGCTGGGACTTTGTTGTAACAAGATTTTACTGTATATCAACACTCCACTCCTATGAAGCAGATGCCCACATCATGAAGCAAAGCAGCATATTTGCTCAATACAGACATGGTTCTTTCAGGCATTTCAGGAAGAAAAAAAAATTGCACAAAAATGCGATTACAGGTGGAATCTCTCAAAAATTTCTCAAGTACAACACATTTTTTTTTTTTTTATCCCAACAAATTTTTTTCTTCCCATTTTCTATAAGGGATTCTCCACAACAAAATCCTCTCTACAGCGATTATTTGTTCCTGGTCCCTTCAATTTCGTTGTAGAGAGAGTCCACCTGTATTATCATTATTTATCATTTGAAAAAACAAGTGGATTAAAAAAAACCAAAGACAAAAAAATCACTCACCCTTGAGCATCTTGACAGCAACAACTTCAATACCAGCTTTCGACCGGTGCGGCAGATGATGATGCCTAGTCCTGCTCTCGGGTAATGCAGCCTGTTCCACCAACTGGGCTCGATTCTTCTTGTTCAACTTCAAGTGGGCCTTGCGAACAACACCAAAAGCTCCTTCCCCGAGAACCTCTTGCAAGATTAATTGGTCCCACGAGACCTCGTAGTCGTCCGGAGGACTCAGCGAAAGCAGCGAAGAGAGGATCATTCTTTCGCCGAAAAACCGAAGGTTCTGAAGACGCTGTGTGAAGAAAGAAAAAAGAAAAAGAAAATGAATAATAATGGAGCGGATATAGCGAGAAATGGATGACCATCAGATGAAAAGCGGGGTTGAAGAAACGATACGAGGACGAAAGGCCTTTCAAACGCAATAGCTGATGGATGATTCCGAGTAAATCGCACTTAATCTCGTTTCCTGCAACTAATGAATAAGAATACAAATAAATCAGCTTATATATACTGTACTGTATACAGTTACATAAGCAAGTCCAGCTTGATGGGACCACCCTTTGTGCTAAATTCTAGCTTCAGACTTCCTCCTGGAATTTTTGCTATCTCCACTACCATATCAAACCTTGTACACGCAAAATTCACCTTTCAACAGTATAACCTCCAAAATGTGAATACAGTACTTTGGGGCAGATACGAACGCATACACTTTAATTTTCTGTAAGGAAATAAGGACGTGATACAATAACGAGAATAAATCGGAAAATCCCTCCACTTTCTGGAAAATCACAATACAGTACAGTAAATGTTTAGTCAAATTTGAAGGGAACCAAAAAATTGACCAATTTTTCAATATGGGAAATAAGGCTTAATACAAGTAAGGCTGATCAAGAAAATCGGTATGATTCAATTTTTGAAGATGTTCATTATTCATGGACATCCCATATGCAAAAAGATGCCCAACCACAAGTAAAAAAAAAAACTAAAAAGTTTGAAAGAGCTTTCTTGGTTTTGGGGGAAAATTTTGAAAATTCTAGTTTGCAACTTCTGCCAAAATATCCTGATTCTATTCCAGATGGGTTTAAGAGGTCTAACTGCAGAATAAAATCTTGAGCAAATGAAAAATCTTGCTCATCAATAAGCTGGATAATTGTTGATCCCAAATATATTGATGCTTTGGGGAAGATTCCAAACTTGAATGATGCAATAATTGAATGTCAAAAGGGTATCACAAAATATTTGTGGCAACTGTTGCAACAGAAAACCTCTGAACAAAATACAGTACTGTCTATAAAGGTGGACTCTCCCTTCATCAAAATTCAAGGGACCAGATAAAAATTTGCTGTCCAAAGAATATTGTTGTAGAAAACGCATGTACAAGTGGTACCTTCCAATTTGACCACGCACAATTTTTCCATCCCATAATTTTATGATCAAATTTCCTTGGAGGTCAACTTGAACTTTGACCTCTGCCCTTCAATTTGGCTGAGAGAGAGAAGCAAAATGTCAAATGCAATGTAGAAACATTGCATTTGACATGGTATTTTAATTTTACTGTTTCACAATTTGACCCTAGCTCAGCAACAGATTAGGGTTAAATTGCAGGGTACCACAAGTATCATGGAGAGAGAACCACAGCAGTGTTCCCCAGCCCTTAGTTCATGGACCAGGGCAGGTCCATCACAGACATTTTTCAGTAGTCCGCAGGACATTTTCTGCGGCTTAATAAATTGAGAAAAGTAGCAATGCAGACAGTTATCTTCATCTGAAACCTCAGAAAAGCAAATTGTATTTGAAATTATCTAAAGAAAACATAAGTTGGCTTCTCTCTTAATTATACTTCAGAAAAATATTCAGATGCAGAAATAATACTTTTTTCAGTCTGAGAAACCTTTCTTCAAGCCCAACTGTCTAATTTTTTCAAAACATTGCACTATACTCCTGCTTCATTGGAACTTAATTTTTGCAAAAAAGCATAAACTTTTTAAATGTCTGCCATAAAGCTTTCTGCAAAAATGTTACAAAACTGTGCCAGTATACACAGCACATTTTTGGGAAATTTGCCAATCCGGAAATTTTTTAACCCTTGGGTGGCAAAGTCGGACTATTTTTGCAAAATTTTGTTGCACCTCAGAGAGGTCAAGAAAAAAATGAAAACAGGTGGTGAAGGGCAAAGTTGGGAAAAATCCCGACATTTTTTTTCCCTGGGGGCAGAAAAATTTTTCTGGAAAATTTAAAAAATGCTCAGGTACACTACCAGCTTTTCTTGGATTAATCCTGACTTTGCCTCAGCCCACCTGGAAGGGTTTTTCTGACCTTCTAAAAAGAATTTTACTCCCTCGTATGTTTTTATTAGGTTAAAATAGGACGATACCCTTTCTTGGGTAGGTTCCCAATTTCCACTAAACGACCAGGAACCCGGATTTGTTCAATCCCTTGTGACGATATGTCCTCCACACAAAATTGATATATGCAGAGAAACTTGTTGTAGACAAGATTTTCATATGGAGAGGTAATCTGTAATGAACTCTTTTGAAAACAGAAATGCTTTTTTCTTCTATGTACTCACACTTCCAGCAGCAGCAGGTCGGACATAACCCGCATGCAAAACCTCATCCCTGACAAGTTCCCCATGTCCATCCAATCCGGGTGGTCTAAGAAATGCCTTTGACTTGGTGAAGAACCCGTTTTGAGATACTAGGCACATGAGCACAAGCGACCGACGGTGTGCTTGTTTTCTGCGGAGACCTCAGTGTGGGTGGTGTCTGGAAGAGTAAACGTATCCCCCGTGATGCGAACTGCTTTTCCTGCAAACGTACACAATGCCGAGTCCGAGCACAAACAGCACTACGAGCACCGTGGTCGGCACAATCCATGCTGAAGTAGATGTCACTCCTGCACCTGCTGCTTGAGAGGCATGAGCATCCATTTCAAGGGGATCGAAGAAGTTGTTGTTGTTGCCATTCGTAGAGAAAATCTGGGGTTGACGTTTTGCAGCCACTTCTGCGATTGAAGAATCCTCGCTTTCGCCGCCAGTGGATTCCGCGCGGACCCAGATTTTGTAGGCGCTCGTTTGAGACAAATTTGTGAATACCGTCGATGTGGCATTCTGAAAAAAAAAACAATTAAAAAGAACAAGGTTAAAAAGAATTAATGGCCTCATTTATCCGGTGCTATAGAAATACAGTGAAAACTTGAGAAGCTGCCACCATTTTATAAATTAGCGGACAATTTTCTAAAATTTTTCTGCGGACCAGCAAAGTTTCAAGAAATTTTTGCAGACTGAAAAAAGTTTTTTTGAAAGACTTCATGATACATATTTAGAAGCTTTTTGCTTTTTTGAAATAAAAATAGAAAAGAACCGATGGAGCAGCTATAGTAGAACATTTTCAAAAAATTAGGAAGGCCAGCTTTAAGAATAGTTCTGAACTTACTTTTTAGTTTTATTAAATAAAGTCGACCACCTTGAAACAGACTTCGTAATAATAATCCTCTTTTCGGTTGAAAGTAAGAAGTGGTCTATTAAAGTTGACGGTAACAGAAAGGTATTAAAGTTATAAAGATGACTGACTTCATTACTACTTTTGATGAATTCATTACGCTGAAGAAAATTTCTTGCAGACCAGCAAAAATCTTCTGAGGACCTGCTCTGGTCCAGGGATCACAGGTTTTGAAACACTGCATTAGATAAATACAGGTATTCCAAAATGATTTGGTCATCTGAACAGCTGGACTCTTGCATTGAATCTCATCAACTCAAACCACCCTATGTCAATTTTTTCAAGTTCCTGTCTGAATTCCCTCAAAAGGCAACTCAAAAGGACTGAGAAAAGGAATACAAATTTTACTCTATGTTAGAGACTAATATAGGGCAAATGAACCCTTAACCCCCAATTCAGCATCCTGTCAATCCATTTATTTTGCATATGAAAGCCCAAAAACGCAAATTTTCCTTTCTGGTATTATTCTGCATATACTGTACTGTACTCATAGCCAGAAAAAGAGAGCCGTTTTTTATACAGCTCGAATTTTTTGCTGGTCCCTCAAAGTTTTGGTTGAAGAGGTTTGACAGTATTTTGTAAGAATAAGTGAGAAAAAGAAAAAAGCAGTGCACATAAATCAAGTCACGCTTGCTATCGAAGTTCTGCGCAGTCATAAACATCTCTCAACAACTAATTTAGCATGGGAAAACGCATTGTTACTTAGAATTATCTGCTTATTGATGTTTATTGCCATTTTCTCATAATTTTTGTAAGATTTGTCTCCCAACAATGCAACGAGGGAAAGCATGGCTTCGTCATCAGAAGCAAATTTTGTTTCCTTCTGATGCAGAAACTTTTTTGCAAAAAAATCATAGAAAAAGATACAGAGCCAGGCATCCTGAATAACTAGTGAACACATCATTATATGAAACAAAAATGGCATTGGAAGGTAAACTGCGTCTAAGAAATATGTATGGGTGCACGATACTCGGAAAACCGTGACGTACCAGCTAATATATAATGAATACATACCCCGGGTAGAGACTGCTTTTGATTGATCCCATAACGAGGAGATCTCAAACTGGCATCGAAATAATAATCCCCAGTGATTCCCGAAGGAAATGGCTCTTCCAGAAGATGAACACTGATGACTTCTATTCGATTATCCCGGCTTGTGATGAGTGGCAAAGACCAATTTATTTTCAAGTCCTCTCCATCCCAAGCAGCACTGACATTCGTCGGAGGCGGTGGAGCTGTGGAAAGACAAAATTAAAACGCAGTTGGATTTTTGACAGGCATGAATCGCGAAAATCCTTCCTGAAAACAATAACCAAGCAT